TAATGACCAGATATCTATGCGTGAAATTACTGAGGTGATAAGAAATAATAATAATAATAAAACGCCAGGTCCAGATGGGATTCCCATAGAATTCTATAAGGCTTTTGAAGAGGAGATTGCACTACCATTGCAAGAGGTAATTAAAAATATTTCGGGTGAAGGACAAATGCCACACTCTTGGAAAGAAGCCCAAATTACACTAATATACAAGCAGGGAGCAGAAAGAAACGAAATACAAAATTATAGGCCCATATCACTCCTCAACGCCGATTATAAAATTTATGCATCTGTATTAGCTGCCAGATTAAAGAGGGTATCACTTCAAGTTATTCATAAAGATCAGGCCGGTTTTTTACCAAAGAGGCAGATTAAAGATAATGTAAGAACAATCTTAAATGTGTTGGAATTCTATGAACAACATCCGGAAAAAATAATGGCATTGATATTTATCGATGCCGAGAAAGCCTTTGATAATATTAGTTGGGATTTTCTATTAGAAAAATTAAAATACTGGAATTGCGGCGATAAGTTTCTGAGGCCCCGGTCACACAGGCAGGAAACTGCGGGGGGGAAGCGTGGCTGTTTGCCCTGGGGCAAACTAACACGCAGTAAAGCGATCATACCTCCTGTGGAGGTTCTGTGGAGGTACCGTGGAGCTTCTGTGGTTACGGAGAGGCGTCGATCACAACACATGCCTGCGCGCACCGAAGAAGCGCGCGGCGCGGCGAACTAGTTTTTTTTTGTGTGTTCACTACGAATGCGCATGCTCCGTTGGGTGCATGTGCGCAACCACGGGGACTTGGGGGGAAAAAAAACTTTTTCACAAGGGGACATGGGCGGGCGCCGGATGCCACCGGAAACGCGATCAGACGCCCACCCTTGCCCCGCAGTTTCCGGAAACTAGTACCTCCGAGGTACTAGTTTTTTGCTGCGCGGTTTCGGGAGGAAGCCTCGGTTGTGCCACAGAAGCGCTACGCTCCCCAGATGTGCTGGTGAGATCGCGTCCGGAAACTCCGCCTGTCTTCCGTATCTCTTGCGTGGCTAATGTTGCGTGTGACCGCAGCCTGAAGATGGTTAGTAAAATTTATGATACTCAAACAGCTAAAATAATAATAAACGGAGACCTAACAAATAATATTGAAATTCAAAAGGGTACCCGACAGGGCTGCCCTCTATCGCCACTATTGTACATCTTTGTTATAGACATACTCTTAACATGTGTCAGAAACGAAAAAGAAATTAAGGGTTTAGAGATTAAAGGGGAAAGTTTTAAAGTACAAGCTTTTGCTGACGATATGACTTTTATTTTGGAAAAACCACAATTATCGTTGGAAAAATTAAGTTATGGCCTGAAAGAATATGGCAAAGTGGCTGGATTAAAGATAAATAAAAAGAAAACAAAAAAAAAATTAAAAAAATTGCAGAGGGAATATAGAAAAGCAATTACAAGACCTTTCAGGATTTGAAATACAAAAGAAGGTGAAATATCTAGGTATATTACTGACGAACAGATGTTGTTCATTGTTTGAGGATAAGTATAAAAAACTAATCTTAGAAATAAAAAAGGATTTAGAAATATGAAGAGGTTTGCATATATCTTTGATAGAGAGAGTGTCAATGATAAAAATGAATGTTTTGCCGCGTATCCTTTTTTTGTTCCAAACCATCCCCATTTTAAGAAATCAAATGTTTTTCAAAGATCTGGAAAAGTTAGTAAAGGATTTTATTTGGCAACAAAAAAGGCCAAGAATAAAGTTAAAATACCTTCAAGAAAGAAAACAAAGGGGTGGACTAGCTCTTCCAGATTGGGCCCTATATTACAAAGCGGCGGCTATGCAGTGGATAAGGGATTGGATTGTACAAGAGGATAAAAAAATATTGAGTCTTGAAGGACATGATTTACAGATGGGATGGCACTTCTTTATGTGGTATAACAAGAATTTGCCAGCCACCCATTTTAAACATCATACTATTAGAGCGGTATTGTATAAAATTTGGGAGGAGATAAAAGTAAAACATTATATAAAGCTACCTAGATGGCTGTCCCCCATAGAAGCCTTTGCTAAACCATCGCTGTATATCAAATATCCTAAATGGAGGTATGATGATTTATTAGATCCAAAGGGAGAGAGAATCTCAGAAAAACTTTTAAAAGAGCAAGGTACAAATCTGACTTTGGTGGGAAAAAAACCCAACTTATTTCAAGATGGACAAAAGATAAACAAGAGGGTATATATGCAAATCTAACTGAATTAGATAAGATTTGGATGAACACAAAAGAAAAATTTCTTTAAAAAGTGAATAATTTCTGGCTAGAGTGGAAAATGATGAGCAGGTAAAACCATCGATGATAGCATGGGCACAAGATATAGGCTATAATTTAAGCTTTGAACAATGGGATAAAATCTGGACAAGAAACATAAAATTTGTAAGAACGAGTGCATTTAAAGAAAATATCATAAAGCTGTTTTATAGGTGGCATATATCTCCGGCTAGATTGAATAAATTTAATGAGAAAATAGGGAAAAGCTGTTGGAAGTGTAATCACAGTAATGGTACTTTCTACCATATGTGGTGGTTACGTAGTAAAACAAAAAAATATTGGGCTATGGTGAAAGAAATTATAGACAAAATAATAGGTAAAGACTTCCTTTTAAAACCAGAATGTTACCTGTTAAATGTGATACCCGATAAAGAAAAAAGATATATATATATAATTATGCAGATTTTAACAGCAGCAAGAATTGTATTTGCCAAAAGATGGAAGGAGAACAATATTCCTTCTAAAGATGAAATTATTATTAAACTATTTTATATTGCAGAAATGGAAAAATTAACATGTATTATTGAAGAAAGAAATTTGGAAAATTATGAAGTGTTGGTCAAGGTTTTATAACTGGTTGAAAGAGTCAAAGTTTAGTTTAAGTTAGTTAATAAGGCCTATTTTATCTTTTGAGTGCCAAATATGGAGCAATTTATGATATATTGTGGAAGATTTCTGTTACCTTGTAAATGTATTAGAGTAAATGTCTGCGTTGTTCAATATGAAAAATCAAATAAACAAATTAAGTAAAAAAAAAAAAGATAGGACAGGTATAATACCTGAAGCATGGACAAATGCTATTATAGTACCAATTTTCAAAAAAGGTGACTATAGATTGCCTAGTAATTATAGGCCCATTAGCTTGCTTTCTATATTAGGGAAACTCTATGCAAGCCATTTGGCGTTCAAACTTAAGGCCTGGATGGCAGAACAAAAAATTTTAGGTATAGAGCAAGCAGGATTCTGTCAGGGGAAGTCAACTTTAGATCACTGTATTGTGTTAAGTCACTTAGTGAATAAATATAAAAAAGGGAAAGGGGATAAGTTGTACTCTCCTTTTCTGGATTTGAAGAGTGCTTTTGATACTGTTTCAAGGGAGCTGCTATGGAAGAAGTTAAGGCTGTTGGGAATTGACATGAGATTGCTCCTGCTGATCAAGAAATTATATACAGATACCACTTGTCAAGTAATAGGCTCTAGGGATGGTGATTTAACCCCGAAAATTTCCATCAGTATAGGGGTTAAGCAGGGCTGTGTATTGGCTCCCTTCCTTTTTAATCTTTTTTTTTAAACGATTTGGCCAAGGGGCTAGAGGGGATTGATGGACACAGCCCAACTTTGAGCTCTTGCCCGTTGCCCCTGTTATTGTATGCAGATGATGCTGCAAATTATCTCTAGGTCTGAAGTAGGGATAAAGAGGTTGTTAGCACACTTTATAGAATATTGCGAGATGAACGGGTTATCCGTGAATTTTGACAAAACTAAAAGAATGGTATTTGGAGATTCCTGGAAACCTATCAATTGGCATGTTAAGGGCAAAGCCATTGAACAGGTGAAGAGTTTTAAATATTTGTGAATTAATTTTCACCATAGTGCTAGGTGAGTAGCACACAGATCAGAAGCAATTAAAGCTGCGAATTGCTGTGTGTTAGCAATAACCCGTGTTTTTTTTTTACCAAGGGTAACCAGTATGTTCCTGCGGCCCTAAAAGTGTTTGAGCATAAAATTGGAGCGAAACTTCTTTATGGGGTGCCCATTTGGATCACTGCTTTTAACAAAATGGTAGAACTTCTTCAATCGAATTTTGTGAGGAAAATATTAGGGCTGCCTCTGTGTGTTTCTTATGCTGCCATTTGTTTAGAAGCCAATTTGATACACTTGGAAACAAGGGCTTGGATAATTACTTTCAGATTTTGGTTACGTCTGCATTTCAGGAGCTGCCCCGATAGCCTTATTCCATATCTGCTGAAAGAGTCTCATTGTTCTAAGTGGTTTGTTGCTATAGAAAGGAAAATCTCTTCAATAGGCTTATGCCTGAATGATATGATGTCCTTATCTGAAATAAACATCTTTGCTCTGTGCAAACAGAGATTAATTGATATTGAAATGCAAGAGCTTAGAGCTTTGGCTTCTGGTAGATGTTCTCCTTTAAGATGGGCATGTTTTCCGATCAATGCCCCAGCACAATACTTATCGGATCTGACTTCCCCACAGCTGCGTAGAGCATTTATGCTGGCCCGTTTTAATGTGCTCCCTTTTGCGGTTTTAGCAGGAAGATTTAAGAAAACCTCCTACTCTGTAAGGTTCTGTGATTGTGGTTCAGAGGAGATTGAAACAATCGAACATGTATTTCTCTATTGTAGTTTGTATGAGGACATTCGGGCAGCCTATTTAGAAGATATTCTTAAGAATGATGCCAAGCAATCCGATGACAGAATGTTGTATCGTTTACTGGCTTCACAAAACATAGTGGTTATTGAAGCGCTTGCTAAGTTTTGTAACTGCCTTATAATGAGGAAGATGCGTATTAAACCCATGAACTGAATGGCGATTGTGTATGATTCTGATCTATGCCAATAAAGGTTTTGAACTGAACTGATATTCAGAGAGAAGCACTCAAAGTGGTAGAAAGCCCTGGATAAGGCACTTGATCCATGTTTTTGTTGCATTTGTTCAGATTGCAGAGCCATCCCTGGTGCTCTGTATGGAATGTTCCTCTAAGACAATGAACAGTCGTCTTCTGGAACAAAGTCAAAGCAACCAGTGCCTCATGGACAATGCTGAAGTCATCATGCAGCGAACTGAAAGTTACTACCAGACATCTGAGCCTGTGATTGCATATTATGAAACCAAAATTCCAGTGTTTAAGGTAAATCGCGCTGCAAAGTTGGACCACTGTTCTTTCACCCCATTCATGTAAAAGTAAACCAAATGTCTATGAATACTTTGCATCAGATCATTCACTATATCAGAATGCAGACAAGAACTCTTACTTAAAAACATTCACATATATTTCCATCTGCACACAGCCAGCCAAAATATCAAGGCACCTAAACCTGAAGGTGTGAAAAATAGCAAGTTAACTTTTTACTGTATGGAGGGCATTCCAAATTAAAATTTGGCTCAGAACGAAAAAGTGCAACATTTTACTATTTCGACGGGGGAATTTTTAGCCATGGTTCTACAATATTGAATGGAAAACCATTAGGTACCAATAATGATCAGCTGCTTTGAATGGTATTGTTAAAAGCCATTTGCCTGTACCTTTGGTATCAACCAGAACTTTTGATTCTGAACACCAAGTTCTTGTTACAGGCCTGCATTTCTGAGGTCTCAGATGTTACAGCCCTATAGAAATCCAGTTGTTATAATAGGACTGAGTGTAGATGCTCTGTGCATTTTTGTAGCTGTTATAACAAAACTGCTCCATGTTAATTTTATTGCTTATTTTATAACTACTAATAGTGTTAAAAAAGCTCAAAGATAAAGCTGCAAGAGACTTATTCTCAACTTTTAAGGCACAGTTGACACCAGCTAGTCAGTATAAGCAAGCAACAGCCTTGTGATGATGAACAAGAGATTGGATTTATACCCTGCCCTTCACTACCCGAAGGAGTCTCAGAGCAGCTTACAATCTCCTTTCCCTTCCCCTCCCCACAACAGACACCCTGTGAGGTAGGCGGGGCTCAGAGAGCTCTGACAGAAACCACTCTTTTTCAAGAACAGCTCTTATCAGAACTATGGCTTGCCCAAGGTCATCCAGCCAGGTGCAAGTGGAGGAGTGGGGAATCAAACCCGGTTCTCCCAGATTAGAATCCGCGCACTTAACCACTACACCAAACTGGCTCTCGGTGACTGTATTTAGACGTCCTGACAAATTATACAATGGGGCATGAACACAGCTTATTACCTTGGTCTTATTCTTCCCCTCAGTCTTCCCACCTCCTTGCTGCTCTCTCACACAGAGCTTGATTGAAGACTTCCTGCTTTGATCAAAGTCCAACTTGTCAGCATCCAGTGCAGGGACCTCAATAAACTGGAGCTCACGTACTCCCCACAAACCTGGATTGTAAACTGTAAATTTATGCATTTTGCATCTGTGGTAAATAAACTGGGAGTTTACTGGGAGTAAATAAACAAGTTCGCTAAGAACCTGCATTTAGAATTTAGACACCATAGCAAACTGGACCTTGATGAAACCAAATGCTTTCAGTCAAGCGTGGTACATGAGAGAGCATGGGAAGAGTGGGGAGCAAGCAAGCATTTGTGCTGTGACATCTGAATGCAGCCAATGTAAAGGGTGGATATGTTCTCAGGGATTAAACTTGCTGTTGAAACTCCATTTGAAACAGGAGATACAAGATAATATTTCACCTCAGACTATCAGTGTGGTTGAGAATCCAAGTCTCAGGAGAATGGTTCTTTCTGTTTTTAAGACAGACCAAAACATTCCAGTGGGAATGGGCTGCTTCCCATTATTTTGCCTTTCTTATGCAGAAAGTGTGTTTGATTGGCCCAAGGAAGTTTGCTGTGCGACCTTGGACAAGTAACACGCACTCAGACTAACCTACTTTACAGGGTTGTTGTGAAGATAAAATGGAAAAGAACAATGTAAGCCACTTAGGTCCCCACTGGGAAGAAAGATGGGCTATAAAAATAGTAAATAAAAAATGCAATGAAAAATAGCATGAAGCCCTTGGCCAAAGAGTCCCATGTACTAAGTAATTCTGCACAGACATGGGGAGGTTACCAGTTGTTGTCTGTATCCCATTGCACAGACACAGAACACCACTATAAAGAATTCCCTAATCCTCAGGAGCAGCTTTGGGGGAGAAGCATGAGGAGGAGGGGGCTGCAATGGAAAGGTGGTCAGAAAATCCCACTGTACATGTGGTTGTTCTTTGTATCTTGGCCCCATGAGTGCAGCATAACATGATACAATACATGCAATTATCTACATGCAGTTTTTGTGCTCCCTAAAAATGCTGTTTAGAAAAAATATATGTGAACAGTGTAGACACTTAAATTCAGTATGGACAAACTGGCTTCTAGTTAACTGGACACATGGAAAGGTAGAATCAGAAATGAAAGAAAGGGTTCTACAATTGTTTTATTATTGAATTTTTAAAAAAATCTTAAAGTTACAGATTTTTAACTTTCAAGGATAAGTTCCCATTTTGGCATGTTTTAAAAGAGCTTCCTTTCTCCCTCCAAATATTGGCCAAATACTTAATACACTCAGTTGACTTCATCCCATTTAACTAAAGACACTAACCAATGGAAGAGGACATAAACAATCCCCATTTTGCAGACTATGCAGTCAAAAAATAATCACCAGAAAAATTCTAACTTTTGAATGAATGCATAAATATTAAACTCAAAGACTGGAAGATCTGGTTATGATGCTCTGAAATCCTTAGGTCACATAATCACAGCACTTCAAACAAATAAACTAGGCAACTAGGACTGATTTTTTTCTTTTACCATTACTAAAAAGGGTTTATGTACAAGCTACTCAGAAAACCAAAAATATGAAAACCAAATTCTCATATTGCAAGACCTTTCAGTAGATCAAATAATTATATCCTTACAAACAAACATGAGACAAAACAGCCCCATAGTTTTCATCTTGATGTTTACAGAATCACCACTTAACTTGTTTTATCAAAAGCAGAGCCAAGATAAAATCTAGGGGGGGAAAATCACAGAAATTAAGAAGAAATGTATTGGAAGAACTTCACAAATCAGTAGCTCTTAAAAGTGTAAACTATCTTCACAAAGCTGGGGAGGGCAGACATAGGGATCTATATAGCTGCCCTATTACATATCTACAAAGTTTTCAGAAAAGTGTATGGTACACATAGCTTATACAGAGTATAGCTACTGACAACTGGCGTATAGGTAGAACATGGCACCCTTTTTAATGAGGAGTATCCTGAATGCCACCTTTTCTCCCGGTCACAGTGCTTCTAGTTGCCTGACAGGCCCAGTTGACTACTGCTGTTTCTGCCTACTCATTAAGAGTTGTGTCAACATTCCAGTTAGTTTTCTCACCCTGGAATTTTACAGATGTTTCAAGTAAGCATTTTCAGTCAGTGATTGGGATGAAGTTACAGTCTGCACTTCCCCACTTTATTTTTATGCACATCTAGAGAGCATGCAATTTGATTTCAGCCCTTAATGTGGTAGCCATACATAACTTGGCAAATTTCAGGAATGGCTCATATTAGATTACCAGAAAGGTTTCCCTGTTAAGTTTAAATTTCTGACTTCAAATATTTCTTTTTAATAGATAAATGCAGAAAGGACACCAGAAGAAGTTTTCCTTGAAGTATGTTCCTCAGTCAATATTTTTCTGAAGCAGGAAGAAACAGCATCATCTCTTGCACTTCATACACAGTAACTGCAGTTCTCTGTCACACAAACACACAACACAATGGTCCTTGAAAAACGCTGCTTGAAGCAATAGCTGCTGACTTGAAAGATATCTGGAATTAGCGCATGTTGTAAGCTTTGGGGAAAAATCAATTTGTACAGTACAGTAACTGCACATGTATTGTATGCCATCATACAGTTTGCACTTTTCACAGGGTAAAAACAGCAGCTCTGATTTGTATGAATTGTGTCTTGTTCTTTAATATCACTGGACATACTACATAGTCAGCACTGAGCGCCTACGTCAACTGCCCATCATCAGAACTGACTACCACTGCAATTGTGTCTGCAAACAAATAATTCAATTTTGAGGCTCTTTAAGCTTGTTCTTTATTCATAGCGCTTGAGAAATCTGTTTTTTGCCATTTTATCTTATTGGTGGAACATGCCTGCCATTACAGCACTGTCATTAACACAAAGCAGTGAAAGTTCAGCAATTCTCAGAAAAGCAACATAAATGTTACATAACAATCGAATGAATGTGAAGCAATTAATACCACACATGATATAAGATCTGTTGTTATTGCCATCAAACTGGGTACAAAAGTTCTATACACTTATAAGGATGAGTCTTAATTTGAAATACCATATGGGATAGAAATATCTGTTTCCTTGTTAAAAAATCCGATCCCAAATTTTGCTGTGTAAACACATGATAATTATGATCACATCTGAATGTTAAAAACTTGCTAAATATCTAACAGCCACACATTCTAAAGGGAAGAATGTAATCTATTTGTATGTTGGTTATTATATGTTTGACAAGTAAACAATTGTAAATTTCAATTTTACATCTTAAGCGGTTATTTCTCATTGCCTGATATTAAAAGTGTGAAATTGTTTCATTTAAATCACCTGTATTTAATAAGCCACATTTCCATTCTTTTTAAAGCAAGCCCACATGAAATCATTTTACTTGCATCAAGCCTACCAAAATTTTGAGGGCTTTGTGTATGCTGAGTATGTTCTGCATCAGCATACAAAGCATATTTGTGTTTTTAGAAAGTGACTGTTTTCCTCCTGGACCACTCACCTTTGCAGCTTGCATGAATGATATTTGTCAACAGTTGCATTATCAATGAGCACATGAGAAAAATTTGTATTTTTCAGGCTACTTTTCTTGTAATGATGTAATACAAAATAAAACGTATGTACAAATACTAAGGCTAATTATTTTTACTCTATACATTTAATATCAGCTTAAGCACAATAAAAACATTAAGCTTTTAAGTTTTTTCAGTTTGCTTGAAACGTGCACGGTAAGGAGTTCATTAGCTACTGAAAACGCTATGGAATTGTCTCTTTCTTCATTTGTGAATGCTTCTCTGCCTTAGTTTCTGCAAACAACACCCTGTTCTTAAACTAATGAAATGTTGTGGCTACTGCAGTGTGGCTACATGAATAACCCAGACATGCTGAAGTGGTTTTAAACACATGAAGAGCTGTTCTAGAGTCTTTTTTCTAATTAAAGGAGACAGGACCCCAAGATGGCCCAATGCTTTCTTTCTAACAGTTTCATACCATTTAACACATATGAGATTTGGCAGGTATTTTTTTAGGTAGCAACAAGTATCTGCAATCAGTTCCTATAAAAGCAAATGTCAAACATTTAGTAAGATATTCTGAGCTCATATGAGATTAAGCCACCAAACTTCTCTAATATTGTTTGAGTGGATCTGTTGCTGGGTCAGAAGAACTGTGAATACTGAGCATATTGAAGGAAAGGGGTATCTACGCAACCTTGAGGGTGCAGTTGTCAAAATATATCCTATCTAGGCCTATGGCATAAGGAGGGCCCACTCTCTGACAGGCTACCACGCATTTGGAGACCGCTCAACCTATGCGGGCAAATCTCATCCAACCAATTTCACAAATATAATGACAATGTCACATGGATGTCCCTACAGAAGCACTACAGAATGATATAACCCTCATAATGAAAAGAATTATGGGAGTGGGGGATATATAACTGGGATCTTTCCTACAGAGCACCAGCTCTATTCCCCTCCCCCCCCCCTTTTTAGATTTTCCCCAGAGATAATACTCTCACACCAGATGTGTGTACAGGGATTATTTTCATGTTATGTTTATTTCTGATATCCAAGCCCACAAAAAATATTTATGTCTGTAATAGTCATATTTTCCTAAAACTTATGTTTAACAGTAAGATGAAAAAATATTTTTATTTGCATAATAGTTACTTTGCTTCCCCAAAGCAATTCTGTTTTGCTTTCATAGAAGAGAAACGTGAAATACAGCAGGTGTATTCTTTTGCATTGTATATTTTTTTGGTTTATTAGATTTCTCGAAGAATGAGATATGCTTACAGACGATATATTATACTGTTCAGTCATTTAGAAATTATACTGCATAATCTACCGAATATATTAAAAAGATGCTTAAACTCCTCTAACAAAAAGTGATTTCACTTGAACAAACACTGTGAAAATTAACACTGCGATTAAAAACTGAAATTAAACTATTTATTTAATTGCACCAGCCAGTTCTTTGTTAGTTACTGCTGAGGTTTAAGTTCAACACTTAGACTAAGTTATTCTGAAAATTCAAGTTTTTGTTTAAGCAAATGGTAATCTATTACATTTGAAATACTCAGCATTTCGGAAATCACAAGTAATACATGTCATAATGATGTATTAACTAAAAATATATCACAAATAGTTCATTTTTTCTTAATCACTGCCATTTTTAGGCAAGCAAAGCATACCAAATTTCTTTTGTCTGGGAGTTGGGGCAAGACAGCATTTGTAAAAACAAGAAAACACACATGATCATGAACAAATTGCATGGAAGTTTTCTTGATTTCAGCTATACATACTTCCATGAAATTGCTGTGATCCAGTGATTTCTTAGACATGAAGTTCCAACATGCAATCATGAGAGCTGCCCCCATCATTCCAGTACAGGAAGCAGCTCCATGTGAAGACTGCTCTTAGGTATACAAACCAGTCCCCCTGAAGTGAGTGGAGCAGCATGCATTTTGGAGCATACTTGGGGTTATGAATTGGGTAGATGTGTGAATTGGGTAGGTGTGTTAGTATCAATGTACTGGAGACTAATCCTGGAACAGGATGAGCAAACAGAGCAGGAGAAAGATCACAAGGACACACGTAGCCCCAATAGGGTCAGGTACCCACTAGGCTTATGAACCTACTAAACAGTATGCTCCATTTTAATATTGGTTCAAAAGTCAAACCTTCTCGGAAAAAAGTCACAGTAAGCATTCTATATATAAACAGACTGTATCCACATAGTTTATTTCTCACAGTTCTCCTGACAATTGAACATTATTTAAGAACATACTGTATACACAGATAAGAAGAAACATACAAAATGTTTTAAATGATGCACAACAAAATCCAGCAGTATAAAAGAATGCATGTGAACCCTTGCTCACTGCTCAAGCTAAATTTAATCACTTGTTTAAATAGTAATAAAAATACAATCTCTCATGGATCTTGTGCATACTACAAAAGAGGAAAATTATTACCATATATGATTTATATTAGGCAGTTTTCTTTGATGAGTTGTATCACCAACTCCAAATACAGAGGCAGAAGGCTGTGTATTTTCCTTTATAAGAGTTAATGTTGGGTTATTAGAGACTTTACACAGTTACTACCACTGGCACTTTTCACCATATTTTTGTACACATCACATGGTCATCTTATATAACATTACATTTAAAAATATATCTGCGTGACAATTTTATAATATTCACACACCATCAGCTGGGTAAGGAAGCAGTACCACCCTTGCCTCCTGTAGTGCTTGACTGTTGGTAAATAAAAGTTTATTGTGGTGAAAAGGTAAAGAAAGAAAGAAAAAGAAGTGTCAATATGCTTAAGCAGCTCCAATTTAATACAGGCCTGTTGCCGACCATCACAGGGACAGTGATTGTTTTAATACGACCTAGAAGCAAACACTGTTGTCGGTTAAAACCTTGCCTAAAAAAGTCAGTTTCTGTGCTGAAAACTATTTCACAACAAAACTGCAAACTACTAAACTGTTTTTAATGTAAGTACTTCATCATTTCTGCATCTTCTAATAGCCAAGTTCTTACCACCTTTGGAATTGACTATCTTTAATGTGTGATTTCATTTCTGGCCACACTTTTAAAAAAAAAACTCCTCTCTTTAGAGTCACCACCTAAAAAATGACTAACGTGGTGAAAGAAAAACCTCCCCAGTAAAACCTCCTGCACACTAGGAATGTTCAGCCTCTGTTCAGTGATCTAGAATCATGACAGATCAGAGAGCAATAGTGTGATGAGGGTGCCTGGGAAGCTCTCATGCTGTGAGTGACATTCCATAGGAAAGCAAGTATCTTTCCAAGGTGGGCACTGAATCAGCAACAGTGCCACTGTTGGTTCTCAAAAAGGATCCTAAGCTTTCAAGTTGCCATTTCCTTCCCATGTCATCTATTTGCAGGAAAGTAGTTGGGGTCAAGGTAATTATAACTGGCACCTTGGGACATGCAGTAGTCTCTATCTAAGAACATCTCTGATCTGTAAATAGGCTCCAAACGGTGATTTTCCTTGTGAATCTCTGTTTCATGGAGACTGAAAGGGAAAAGGAACAATAATTATTTTTAAATACAGTTTTTAAAATTAGTATTATAGCGCAGAAAATACATTTTTAAAACACACAGACAGAAAAAAATTCTTGTCATGTATTATTGTATTTTAGAACATTTGTCTAAAAATGTACTTTGTCTGCACAAGATTGTTGAATTGAATTGTTGAAAGATTGTTGATAAGAATTTTATCAGACGCTTCCTTTTAGATGCAGAGTGGTTAGATGGCCTTTAGATTTGCACTGGAGATATTCTGAACATATGAAAAGAATCTACACTGTGATTAGGCCTTACTTAAGCCAAGCACACTGCCAGTAACAGTCATCCATTTATACTGCTTACCAGTCAGAACAAGAATCACAGAAATCCAAAGACAATTCTGAAGGGCAGTCTTGGCAGTGCCACCGAATTCCTTGGATGGGTTCTGTTCCACAGTTATCACACTAAGGGGGGAAATCAGCAAAACTACAGTCAATAAAAGATTTTCAAAGGTAAGCTAGAAAGCTAAAGGTCTCTTTCCTCTCTTGATTTCCCTATCATTTCTGCCTCATTTCTCTTTAACAGCTGAGTCAGGTGAGTCTGTGAAAGTCCAAAGAAGAGAAGGTAATGGGAGGTACTGTTGGTCAATGATACTTGAGGATTATAGTCAGCCTGTCCTGGAATGATTGCCCTCCCCCTGAAGATTTGTAGCTTGAGGTAACACTGGGTCCTGGCTAGGGGTGTGCATTTGGCAATAGCTAAACCAACCTTGTTGGTATTTTGGGGGTATCACATAAGCCGAATACAGATCAGAGATAGCTGAACCCCAAAAAAACGATATTATCCAGCTTTTTTTTTTTTTTAGGTTCATTTTGCTATACCAAAACAAGGTCTTTAAACCTAACAGCCTGAGCCACCAGTCAGCTGTTGGGTTTATATGCCTTTCTTTCAATTCCCGAGATCAGGGAGGGAAAGAAAGACATTTTAAATATGCTTGGGTTCCCTGCCCGATCTTCTCCAGGTGCCCCGTTCAGGCAAGGAACCCAGGCATGTTTGCATGCATGCCCTTTGGTTCCCCAGCTAGCCCGCCATGGTGGGTTGGCTAGGGAAGCAAAGGGCATGCATGCAGACATGCCCACTTCCTTCCCTGAGCCTCTCAACTTTTTTGGAGAAACTTGGGGAAGGGAGGGGGGGCATGTTTAAATGCCTTTATTTACCTCCCCGAGATCGGGGAAGGAAAGAAAGGCATTTTAAACATGCCTGGGCTTCCATGCCCATGTCAGCTAGAGAAGGGAAGGCAGAGAGCAGAGGCTTTCCATTGTCAATTTCACTCACAGCTGAGGGCAGGGAGTGAAACTGACAAGGAAATCCCTTTGGGCTACCAGAGGGAAAGAAGGCATTTTAACACACCTTCTTTCCCACTGGTGGTGTATATCAAACCCAAATATATTCAGGAATACCAAATATTTCCCCAATCCAAATACTTTACCAGTATTGGATTGGGGAAATTCAGTATTTACCAATATTTTTCGGGTCTGATTTACCCGAAGCCGAAAAATACCAGCATTTTATTTTTTGCACACCCCTAATCCTGGCCTAGGAGCTGCGGTGGCTCAAGTGGTTAAGACGCTGAACTGCAGGCTGTGGCAGGTCAGTAGTTCAGCAGTTCGAGACCCGGGTGCCGCATGACGGAGTGAGCTCCCGTCTCTAGTTCCAGCTCCTGCCAACCTAGCAGTTCAAAAGCAAGAAATTGCAAGTAGATAAATAGGTACCACTTTGGTGGGAAGGTAACAGTGTTCCGTGCGCCTTGGTGTTTAGTCATGCCGGCCACATGACCATGGAAACGTCTTCGGACAGCGCTGGCTCTTCGGCTTTGAAACGGAGATGAGCACCGCAACCCTAGAGTCGGATTCGACTGGCTTTCGAGCAAGGGAAACCTTTACCTTAGTCCTGGCCTATGGTTGGAGGCTCAGGTATCCTCTGAGATATGCAGTGTCTTTTATGAGCTTTAGTTGATATACCAGCTATGGTTATTCTTCTAAAGCATGATCTCGCCATGGTGATCCATGCTCTCATCACAATCAAGTAAAATGAATGTAATGTGTTCTATTTGGGGCTACCTTTGAAAACAGTCTGGAAACTTAGATGATTGGGACCAGGGTACCTGATGGACCTCTTCTCCCATTCCATTCAGCCTGCCTATTTTCCTCTCAAGCCCTCCTCTCTGTGCTCCTGCCTTCAGAGGTGAGGCAGGCATCTAGCGATATGGCAATTTCTGTGGTGGCATCTTGACTTTGGAATGCCCTCCCTCTTAAGGCTTGCCTGGTGCCTAGTCTACTTTCTTTTATGTGCTGAAACATGGCATATCTTTTTACCCAGGCTTTTAATTAGTGGTTTTATCTTTCCTGCTTTTTTTTTTTTTTTTAAAATCATATTTATTCGGTTTTTTAATGCATTACATCATGCATATAATTCCAAATATACATATACCAACTTACAGAGTCCCACAACACCTTTCTTCACATTTTTTACTTCTTTTTTAACCATTTGTAAAATGTTCCCCACCTATTAAAAAACATTGTAGTATCTTTGTACTGTAAGATTGTAGTCAACTTATCTTTCCGGCTTTTTTAACAGTCTGTGTCTGGTCCAAGGTCTGTTTTAAGGAAATTTTATGCTGTTTATGTCTCTGGGCTTGTTTTCAACCGCTTGTTTTAGTAGTGTTAAATTATGTTAAATTGTAAGCCGCCTCAAGCAGAACTCAAGTGATATGGCACAGAATTCTTTTAAATAAATAAATAAAAAGTCCAACAAAAAGTCCTTCAGCTGTTTATGGATTGGATACCCATTCACAGACTTTCAACAGGAGTATTTATTTGAGTCACATATTTATCCCACCCTTCCTCAGAGAAGCTCAGGACTGCATACTAGTTCCTCCCCTCTTCCACTTTATCATCACAACTTTATGAGGTAAGTTAGGCTGAAAGGCTGGCTCAAGATAATGCACTGAGCTGTATGGCAAAGTAGAGATTTGAACCCAGGTTTCCAAAACTCTAGATGGACAATTTAACCACCAACTTAGTGCTGTTCAAAAATTTCAGATACAAGTTCTTCTCAACTGAAAAGCCTCGTGCCATTTACAGTCAGATTCAGATCCTTATAAATCTGAGCCTGACCCAAGGCCTACATTACTCTGTCCAATACGGAACTATGTGTAGATAAATAAAAGCCACCAAACCAGATCACCCAAAGACAAGGAAGCCTTCAAGGCATGCAGAAAATATGCCCTCCCCTCATTAGGCTTTCAAGACCCCCAAACAGATATGAAGAGGACTGCACTTGCATGGTTTTCTTCTGCTGTCACGAGAGATACAGGAAAAATAACCCTACCCTCCCACATCTCTGGGATGCTGGGCAGAGCAGGGAGCATATGCTCTCCTTGACAGGTAATAAAAAAAGGAGTCTCAAACTATTTGGAAGCTCACAATTGAGAATTTTGCAAAGAAAATATGGGGGAAGAGAAAAAACAAGCAAAATGACTTAAGTGAGAACCATAAGATCTCATATCGAACACAGGCAAAACAAAATCATGTGAATGTTCAAAAAATAACCACAATGCAGTTTAGACTGACAGCTCAAGAATCGTTTTGAACAAGCAAAGTTGCTAAATCACTGAAGGAACCTTTACCAAAATCGGTCACACAATGGCCTAACAGGCAGAAATATACAAGCCAGATATATTTTATTTATTTATCTTTGCATTTATACCCCGCCCTCCCCGAAGGCTCAGGGCGGCTCACAAGGGGCACGAATGCCCAAGTTAAATCATTAAAACAGTAAAGAATAATATCTTTATATAGAAAATATTTATTTGTTTATTTATAAATCTCATTTGTACCCCACCCTCCCCGCAAAGCAGGCTCAGGCCGGCTCACAGTCAATGCATAAATACAATTAAAACAACATAAAATCATCTAAAAACAATTAATACAAATTCGTAAAGTGCTGGTGATGGTTAATTAGTTGTTTAAGATGGCTTACTTTAAGAGTATACACAGAGATCTAACAGTCATTCTGCTCATGATCTTCCTGCAGCACAGGCTAGATGTCAAGAACCAAGGGCCAGGGCTCTATAGTGGTGGTGGCTCCCTAGTTGAAAGCCTGGCAGAAGAGCTCCATCTTGCAGGCCCTGCAGAACTGCAAGAGATCCCACAGAGCCCTGATCTCCTCCGGGAGCTCATTCCACCAGTATGGGGCCGCCACTGAGAAAGCCATGGTAGTAACAAGCCTGGCATCCTTGGGGCCTGGGAGGGTAAATCGATTTTGTGACCCCGACCGTAGTGCTCTCTGGGGTAAAAGAGAGAATTAAAAGAACCAACACTAAGGCAGTGGAATGGGAAATGGAAGAGATCAAAGGGATGGGACCTCCCTGAGATTCTTAGCAGTGTTAGTCACTTGTATAAATAATTCCTAAACCTGCCATAGATTTCTATGACCTCATGAATCATATTCTGGAGAATTTGTGCTATAAAATTTCTAGGAACTATGAAGTAAATTACAAGACAGAATGAAACTGCTATAGTAGTGTTCACTCTTATCTTCTGATATTTGGTGGGCCAAAGACATGGGGTTCCAGATCTGTATTTACCTTGAAGCCTATGTGCTGCACAAAGCCACTTTCTGCATGCATTTGCTGAAGCTTCGCTTTCTTCAATTGTTTAAATTTAAGCAGCTCTTTGTATTCCGGTAATTCTCGATATGCTACAGGAATACTTTCTTCATCCTGTTATTTTTTTAAAAAAGAGAGATTAAAATATGGTTAAAATAAAACCAATTTAACCCTTATGGTAAATGGGATCCACAAATTAATTTCTGATGCTTTACAGGAAGTTGGCTGTATCAAACTGGCATAGAAAAAAGCTATCACATTTGTATCCTGCTCTTTAAGTGGCTGCCTCATAAAGGGGAAATGGCATTATTAATTTTATGTAATTTCAGGGGGGCCAAGTACCAGCGTGTTAAGATTTTGAAATTCTGCTGCTGGACACTGATAGATGGTGGTCTATGTTGCAGCTTAATTGTCATATGTTTGTTTTTCTGTAGAAAAAAAAATTAAGTGTCTGCCTCATTCTATGGTATCACTGAATATAGCAGTATTTGGTTGTGGATGCTGGAAATAGAATAGTAAAGTGTGTTGCAGTATATTGTAGTTACAATATAGGTTCTATTAAGTTTGTTTCTTCCTAAACAAAAAAATAGACATCAGAGGAAAATGTTATTTTTTTATGAACTATGGTCTGACTACTATCTACTCAAGGCAAGAATGAATATGGCACCCCCCAACACACACAAGTTTAAATGGTCTGCCCACACAGGCTCATGGGTCTTACTCAATTCCAGAATGCTGTACGGGATTTTAGGATTCCCAACACATACCCTGTTTCCCCGAAAATAAGACAGTGTCTTATATTAATTTTTGCTCCCAAAAATGCACTAGGTCTTATTTTTGGGGGATATCTTATTTTTCCATGAAGAAGAATACGGTACACTCCGTCAGGGCAGAGCGAGCAGCAGGCGGCAGCTTGTCCTGGCGGTGGCGCGGGCTCTCTGATTAAAAGAGACCTCGCACTTTCCTGTCTGCTGCTCTGGCTGTGCGGCGGCCAACAGTGAGCTGCGCGGCGGCGCCCGCCGCTACGGCCCAGAGTTACGGTAGCTTCGGGGGGCCTTATTATCGAGAAGGCCTTATGTTCGGGGGAGGCCTTATTATCGGGGAGGTCTTATTTTTTGGGGATGTCTTACTTTCGGGGAAACACGGTACTCTGTTGAGGCTGTGATGGAAGCCTGGAACATGAAACTCCTTGAAGCAGTTGATAAGATTGCTCTTCATCAACCCCCCATTCTTGAGGTGGAAGCCAGCTCTGTGGTTTACTGTGGAGCTGGGGTGATACAAAGAGTGTCAGAAAACATCTAGAAAGAGGCTGGCAAAAACCCTCATGCTGAATTTGACAGAACATGTTATAGAGCCCACTGGAAGACCTATGGAGTAGTCTGACAGCAACAAAGAAATGTTATTTCTCTGTAGCTATCTCATCAGCCAGTAAGGTATTTCAGCATCTGCTGACTCCTAACCCTGAGACTTAATTGTCTCAACAGCAGACTAGGGATGCGCGCTTGGATATAACCTAGTTGAATATCTATCTGAAAAATACCTTATCAGTATTTATCAGATATATTCAAATCTCCCTAATGTATCTGGTATACAGAAAAATGGATCTCCAAAAATCCTGGAAATATCTGGGATTAACTGGGAATATTATGACGCCAGGATTTGCAGGCTCCCAGAACTGCCCCCCTCCTTTTCCCCCTTTCCCCCACCCTGTGTTTCTGTGTCTCCCAAGCTTGGTATCGGCTTGTTGGGCTGCTTTAGGTAAGATGCTGTCACTTTCAAGAGTTTTTGGTGTTTTTGCTGGAGTTGGTTTGTGACAAGTTCACAGGTTTGGGGGGTAGATTCTTGCGTTTTATATTGAGAGTCTCAAATTTTACACAGGTTGGGCTTAGCAATAGCTTGCAACAGCATTCCTATGGGAATGATTCTAGGTTTTTACATTTTCAAGTCCTCTCCCCCCCATAGGACACAGTGGAGAACACCTGGGGCAACTTGTTCAGGCGCCCACAGAACTGGACCCCTTGGTCCAAGTGACTTGAAATTCAGGGGTTACGTAAAGGACAGGCTCTCAATTTTTTTAAAAAAGTCTTTAAAGTAAAGAAAAACGAAAAATAAGAAAGAAAAAAGATTTAGATATCCCTCGTGAGAGGAACAAATACTTCTTCACCGACCGACAGAAACAAGCTGTTAATAGCGTGGCGGTCAGAAGAGAACTGGTGGGATGTCTGCGCCCCGCCTCTTTGGGCATGCGCAGTGGGGTTCCCGCGCATGCCTGGGAGGAAGGCATGAAAATCCCATTGTGAGCTTTGTAGACCACCAATTCAGATCAGCACAGGCGCATAATCCCATGGATGTGATGCACAGAGCACTAGTGATAACAGTACACAAAGTTCAGAAAGCAAGCAAGCACTGTATAAATAACGCAGATCATGGAGTGCAAAGGTATGCTAAAGAAAATATATTATAGAAATAACAAAGATAACAAGGACCACTTATATCAGTAATACAGGAAGAGGCTTACTGACTATTTGAGAACATGTTCCACTATTGATCGGATGCCCGGCTTCATATTAATAATAGGACTGAATTCTTCCTGTATTACTAGTCTGAAGGCTTTATTCATTATGAGTGCTGTGTGAAGGAATTTTCCTACATATACATGATGGAAGTCTTCTCTACACTATCAGTACTTTATAAAGTAGTTTGAATTCTTTGAAGAAGAACCTTCAAAACGAAGATTAAAATCCAGAGTCTTCGTCTACTTACAGTTTATGGATTTATGTAACTACTTATGAACTTATGGATACTATTTATGGACTTGCACATGTTATGATGTAATCTTCCTTTACTGATATATGTGGTCCTTGTTATCTTTGTTATTTCTATAATATATTTTCTTTAGCATACCTTTGTGCACTCCATGATCTGCGTTATTTATACAGTGCTTGCTTGCTTTCTGTGATGCACAGAGACCACGAAGAAGATCATACTGATATTTGGAAATGGGAAAAACAGGAATACTGATACTTAGCTCCAATATACCCAGATCTAGAAAATACCGATATTTTTTTTTGGGCTGCACACTCCTAGAGCAGATAATTAGCAAAGTTTTTTACTGATAAAATATCACAAGTATGCTCTGATCTGGATGCTGGTTGTAATATAGGTCAAGCAGAATAAATACTTAATACACCATCTGGTCTGTTTATGGCCCATTTTGACACAGTTACTGTGATGAATGCTGACAGGATCCTGGTATATGTAAGACCACTGTGTGCACTTAATCTTTGACCAACCCAGAAGCTTAAAATCGTGCAAGAACCATTTTAATGAGCCCTTGATATCCATCATATATCTGTCACTAACTCAGGCCCACGTTCCCTCAGCTACTCAAAGGGAGGGAGGGTTTCCATCCACTATTTAAAAACCCCTACTTACAGAAAAATGATGTGGCCAGTTATCACCTAGTCTGTAACCTGCCCTTTCTGGTCAAAGTGATTAAGAGAGCAGTAGTGGACCAACTCCAGGTCTTCTTGGATAACTGCTATGGACTCTTTTCAGAATGGTTTCAGGATGAGCTATGACATACAGATAGCCCTGGTGGTTTTAGCTGATGACCTCTGTCTGAAGGTTGAGAAAAACCATGCTTCTTTGTTGCTCCTACTGGATTTATCTCCAGTCTTTGATTTGGTAGATCATACTATCCTACTGAGGCATTTGGTGGTATCAGGAGATGTGCTTTGGACTAGTATAAATTGTTCCTCACAGACTGGACTCAAAGGGTTGCCACTGGAGACCAGTCAGTCAGTCAGTCAGCCAGCCTTTATTGGCATAAAACAATACCTTAAAAGAGGGTTACTATAAAAAAGAGGATTATACATATAAAATCATATCAAACCATATATATGGAGCCAAGCATATTACATAATGCTGCATAAAATAATTTGTTACAAGATATTACTCAATCTTTCCTGTTGTAGCTTCATAGCTGATTGTAGAAACATGGCTACCTTCCTTGACATTTCAGGAGCAGAGTCATTCAAAAGACGGTATACTTTTAAAGCAACAGGAAGGTCCGCCATGTTGGCTTAAACAGGGTTTAAATACCTAAAATGTATGTCTACATAAAATTGACAATGCAAACAGATATGTGAAACTGTCTCAATGCATCCAGAGTTACAATGGCAAAGTCTGGCCGTGTATACTATGTTGTTATATCTCCCATGCAAGATTGCTGATGGCATTACATTGAATCTTGCTGAAGAAAAAGCTCTGCGCTGTTGTGGTGCTTGTATATCAGATAAGTACAAGAAGGGGGACCCGCGATACTCGTGGGAGGGGGAGAAGTTCTACGGGAGGAGAAGGAAGCAGCCGCAGGTGAGCCTTCACCCCTGCTCCCCCATCCCCGGTACCCACGGTGAGGCCCACGCTCCTCCAAGCCTTCTCCCCCCTCAGCACCAGTGGCAAGGCCGGAACTTGACCCACCAAGCCTTCGCCCTCCCCCCTGCCCTAGCAGCGGCGGCAAGACCTGGACGGCCCACCAAACATTCTCCCTCCCCCCTCCCCGGCGGCAGCGAGTCCTGGCCGGCACGCCAAGCTTTCTCCCTCCCCCCTAGCAGCAGCAACAGCAGCAGCGAGGCCTGAAGTTGGCCTGCCAAACTTTCTCCCTCCCCCCAGGAGGCGGTGAGGGCTGAGTAGCATACAGCCGCTGGCCAGCCAAGCTGTCTCCCACCCCCACCCTAGCGGCAGTGGCAAAGCCATTCTCAGAGTGTTGCCTGTGCTTGCGCAGGGAATGCTCTTTTACTTTTGGGGGGATTTAAATATCCCCGCATATTTTCCCCAAGTTTTCAGATTTTTCTGCACATCTGGGTATTGCCCCAAATGTGCAGGAAAATCTCCCTGCCCCCCAAGTGACCCCGATGTGTGGATTTAGATATCCGCACGGAGGGAGCACGTTGGGAATTAGATATATAGATGGGGCCATTCGGCCTACTGTGAGGGGGATCTCAAAGTTCAGAGGGGAACAAGATTTGTTGGCTAAACTATATAGCCTTTGTATTTCAATGTCAAGTACTCTGCATTTAATCATCTGAAAAGCGCCATGAAAGGGAGCATAAACAGTGAGTCCATAACCCATGGCAGTTATTTTGTTCTCAATGTGTAATAGCCAGTTGGACATGTTTGACTCTGTGAGCATTTGCTGTTTAAGGCTCCCTTGGTCTACACTGTAGTGTAAACGCAGCCAATATTTTACTGTCGTAAGCCACGCACCAGATTCTACAGAGTTTAACCCAGTTTCTAGACATAAGGCTGCATAAGGTACAGAGTGCGGCATTCCCATGATCTTTCGAAGAAATTTAGATTGAACGCATTCAATGGTGCCATTAAGTGCGCTTATCCGTATTGGAATACCATACATGAGTTGGGGAATTACTTTGGCCTTGAAGACTTTTAGTGCAGCTGGTATAAATTGATTGCCACTGGTGTAGAAGAATCGAGAAATGGCAGAGGCATTGATGTTGGCCATATTTATTTCCTAATTGATGTTGCACAGACCAAGATGCATTATACTGGAAATGCAAACCTAAGTATCTAAAATTTTTAACTTGTTCAATTGGTTTGCCTCCAATTGTCCATTTGAATGGTTTCCAAGTTTTGGAAAAGACAAGTATTTTTGATTTTTCATGGTTTAGAAGTAATTTGTTTGTTATAACATATGAAAGGCATCTATTTATTGAACGCTTTAAACCAACTTTGGAGCAGGACAATAGTACCATGTTGTCTGCATATAATAGCAGAGGGGTGTGGACAGAGCCCAGTTTAGGAGCATGGCAATCAACAGCTTCAAGATAAGGGGAGAGATAATTAAGGAACAGGTTGAATAGAAAGGGTGCTAATATACAGCTTTGTTTGACTCCTTTATTTGACGGGATTTTTGAAGTTAATTTCCCCATCAGTGAACATTTAATTTGGCATTTTGTTGATATATATAGCTTTTTTATAAGGAGCCTCTTATCTATGTTTAGTTGTTGCAGTTTAGCCCAGAGGAGTTCCCTATCGATTTAATCGAATGCCCCTTTAAGATCTATAAAGGCGGCGTATAATTTTGCATTGCTTCTTTTTACATATTTGTTAATCAAGTGCTCTAATACAATGCAATGGTCTAAAGTAGTTTTCCCTTTACACAATCCCAGCTGTTCCGGGCCTAGGACTCTCTGTTTTGTCATCCATATCGTAAACTTAGATAGTAAATGTTTGGCATATAGCTTTCCCATTACAGAAAGTAATTGGTCTATAGTTGGAAAGAATTGAGCAATCACCTTTTTTGTGAATTAGGACCACAATTGCATTTAACCACACATCAGGAATAAGGCCAGATTTGTCAATCATTGTGAAAAATATGCAAGGGGGGCAGCCCACCAATCAGGGTCCAGTTTTAAAATTTCAGGTAGAATGATATCAGGACCAGCTTGCTTTTCCTGGTTTTAATTGGCCAATCAGTTCTTTTATTTCGTCAGGTGTTACAGGAGGCCAGTCAGGTAAGTCCTCAGACAGAAAATCTGAGGATTCCATAGTGCGGACATTATCCTTATGGAATAATGTCGAAAAATATTGAAACCACACTTGGGGAGAAATAGCAGACATAGAGGGGGCCTCCGCATGACATGCCCCTGAGACTATGGTTCAGAATTTGTTTGTATTATTTAAAGTCGTGGCCTGGTATAATTGTTCCCATTGTGTATTAATATATTCAGTCTTCTTTCTGTTCATACCTCTGTTGTAGCTGGCTCTTAAGTTTAAAGTATTCTATCAGAAAATATGGGTCAGCGGAGTCACGGTATTGTCTAAAGACATTGCGTAATTGGGTTTTTAAGTATCTACATTCCCTATCAAAACAGCCATTAATTGGTCTACTACTCCCCCTATTTCCACTCTCAAGTTCTTTGCCACTGGAGACCAGCTATCTTCAATGTGGGGGTTATCCTGTAGGGTTCCACAGGTAATCTTATCCCCCAAGTTATTCAACCTCTATGTAAGCCTTTAGGCCTTTAGGCTTACATAGTTTTGAAATTGATGGCATTAATTACAAACTGCACAGATACACCTAAAATTAGTATGTCCCAAGTGGTCATCTGTGCACTCATACAACCATCCTCCTTCCCTGCTAGTGTCATTTCTAGGCAGAAGGAACTGTACTGAAGGAGAAAAAAAGGAGACCCAGCTTCCTGATTAGAGCCCTAGCAGCCTCACAGATGCTTTGTGTAGGAACAGAATTCAGGTAAGTGTGTGATGCTAGTCCCCTTCTACTCCTGTGAGCAATTCTGAAGGTTTTTCCCCCAGATCACATCCCAGCCCTGTTCTGTCACCTTTAGCCAATAAGATAGTGTCTTGCTGTCTCCATTGCAAAGACCCTTTAAAATCAAGTGGTGAGACGGATTTGATCTTGGATCAAATGTTGAAATTCTGTAGATGAAAGAGGGCTAGGAGAATGGCCCTGAGGGTAGTCTTAACTGTTCCATAATTTGGACATGACCTAAAAAAGAACAAGCACCCCATCTGGGTGGGTTGGTATCTATACTTACTGAAAACTCTCCTCAACTTGTAATGACTTGACTGTGGCAAGGATTTTTTTAAAAATATTGCTTATTGCTTTAAGCTCTGAGTTGATGTTTGAGGGCAATTGGTGTCTGGTAAATGAGAAGCGTGTATTAGAAGGTTTGGGAGGGTATCCTTGTTAGAAATGGCCCTTTGAAGCAGTGTTAGGACTGACTGAACCGAAGCATGGCCATGTTAATATTACCACTTGGCCTGCTTCTTTCTGTGCAAACAGGCATGCTTCAAAACTATAGACACTGCTCTTTTCTCTACTCACATATCTTATCTGGGTTCAATACCACAGACAATATTAGGTAACAAAATGTAAGGAGTAAAGCACACTGCATAGATAGTTTCCATAAGACCCCTCTCCAGCATCAGATAGTGCCCGGAAGAGGTACACAGCAAAGACAGAGGAGGCAGGCCTGTAATGTTGAGATAAGCCATGTCCACAGGAGAAAGGTCCAGGAGAACCTCTTCTCCAAAACATCTACTGCTCCTCTGCTGAATGATCCTAACTAATGATCAATTAGGGAACTGGTGCACACCCTGACAAAGGGAAGAAGGGTGGGGGTTTCCAGCACAAACTGATAATCTCAACTTCGGTCAGCTCAACAAAGGTAACCAATGTGGTAAGAGTGCTACGTTGTTTTTAGTGTCAGCATAACTGAACCCTAAAATACAATCTCAGAGGGGTGCATGGACTATTTGGGGTGCTGAATGAGCTCTGTGTGAACTCTATGTAATTATGCACTTGTCATACTGTGGACTCTTATTAGCATCTGAGGCTTGTGTGAGTGTGGGCTATAAATCTGTTCATTGAAATAAAGAATAACATCATGCTGCCTCTAGCAATATAAGGGACCTGGTTCAATCCTGAAGAACTGTTGAGAAGGTTGGTCTGAGCCTCTTGCTCAGAAAGTACATTTCCCCCAGACTGGGTGTTTGACAACTTCTGGCTGCTGCAGCTAACACCCTTGCCCATGGAGCCAGCAATTAAAGAACCTTGCAAATGTGTCATATCGTAGTATTTTATAATGTTATATAGTTTTATCGGCAAGTGCCAATGTTGTAAGCCGCCCTGAGCCCGCATGTGGGGAGGGTGGGATATAAATCAAACAAACAAACAAACATCAAACAAGTTGATTCTGTACAAGAGCCTACCATCACAGTCTATAAACTTTCTGAGAGTGTTTTGATATTGTGAAGGCCTATGGCCACATACAATAAAATGATTCTAAGTAAAAAAGTACCATCACAGTTCCTTATGAACTTTGTTCTCCTATCCCCATTGGTTGAGTCTGTGATCATGCTCAAATAGCTAGCAGTATGAGAGGGAGGGAGAGGACTCTAGATAACTGATCAGGATGTTGTGACTGAATGGACAATGAATGGTGGCACAGATGCTGAAGAATTGCTCGTGTCTGGATGTGACTTGAAAAGCAAGTTTAAAGGTATGACAGTTGATATGGTTTAGGACAGGATGAAAGAAGACAAATTTCCTGTAACCTATGAAATGGTATTCCTTGACCATGCTTGAATTTTCTATACTGCCATACATATTCTCGATCACCTACTTGGAATGTAATGCTATAAAACATACCGATGCATCTTCTTCAGCTGTATTGCCCATGTGGCTGTGAAAACTAGACCTGTCATCATCTTCATCCATATACACAGGGGGTTCATGGGATGTCATGAAAGTTGAGGGCTTGAAAAGATGTTTGTTCAGGGGATGTTGCCGTCTACTTGAAGACTGCAAAGATAATATATACAGTTGTCAAATAATAAGAAACCATCAGCAATATTTGCACTTTGCAGACAAAACTCCATGCTATTATTTATTTATTTATTTATTTTGTAATAGTAAAACGTTTCTAATTTTCAGCATCTATATGTGCCCCCTCGCCAAGCTGGTGCGGCATTTCGAGCAGAGGTGTCTTCAGTACGCTAATGACATCCAGCTATATCTGCTACTGTACAGCCACCCAGATACTGTCCTGCATAACTTGGCTGTGGGTTTGGAGGCCATGATGAGATGGTTAAAAAAGAGCAGGCTGAGATTAAATCTGACTAAGACGGAGGTTCTGTGGCTGGGGGAGGGGCCTCAGTTGGGACACAGACTTCCCACTCTTGACAGGATGCCACGAGTGCTGGCACAATCCATGAGGAGTTTTGGCATGATCCTGGATGCCTCCTTAACCACGGAGGCCCAGGTCACGAATATTGCCAGGCTGGGGTTCTTCCATCTATGCCAAGCTTGGCAATTAGCACTTTTGTGTCACACCCTGACCTAGCCACAGTAATCCACGCAACAGTCATCTCTAGGCTAGACTACTGTAACTCACTCTATGCTGACCTACCCTTGAGACTGACCCGGAAGCTCCAACTGATCCAGCATGTGGCAGTACGAGTCCAGATGGGAACGCCATGGATGGCACATATACAGCCTGTGCTGTGCCAGCTACACTGGTTCCCAGTGGAGTACCGAGTCAGGTTCAAGGTTTTGGTGTTGACCTTCAAGGACTTGAGCAGTCTGGGATATGTGTATCTTTGGGACTGCCTCCTCTGGTGCATTCCCGGCAGAGTGCTACACTCTGCTGACAACCATCTACTGGTGATCCCTGGACCCAAAGATATCCAGATGTCCTCAACCAGAGCCAGGGCTTTTTTGGCCCTGGCTCCGGCCTGATAGAACTCTTTGCCAAATACCACCAGGGCCCTGCGGGACTTAATGCAATCCACAGGGCCTGTAAGGCAGAAATGTTCTGCCAGGCCTTTGAAAGAGGACAGCAATGGTTTCCTCTTCCACCTTCTTGCTTCTGGGTCCTTCTCATCCTGCCTGTGAGATGGCACCACAGACCGGAGTGAGGTTTAGGATTAAACTAATGACACCATCTTGAGTTTATTAATAATATAGAAACAAATGATTTACTGATTTTAACAATGTCATGTAACTTTATTGTACATCGCCCAGAGCCCTGTGTACTCAGGGACTGGGTAATTCACAAATCTAATGTATATAAATATAAAACAAATCTGGACATCATGGCAAGTTGAAGTCTGACAGCTTCTTCAACAAGAAAGCTTTCAACCATAATCAGCCTGACAGGGGAGGAAGAGAGCATGTGAGCATGGCAAACAATCCATGGTTATGCCAATCAAGAACAGAGGTTTACTATGATATCTGAACAAGGTGTCCATCTGCAATTAATTAAAGCCTTTATATGCCAAAATCTAAATGTCTTTTATACTACAGAATTTGTACCTGTTAATCTACCAAGACATTCAGGAATTTGGTTTAGCTCTCTTTACACACAAATAAAGACCCAATGGAAAATTACTTATTTTTCAAGTAAGGGCCCAGAACTTTCTAGGCGCAAAGGATGTCATTCTGTAAGAAATGAAAACTAAACGTCCATGTTCAATAGAAACACTAGTAAAGTGCAAAATAAAAAGCAGCTTTAGTTTTTTATATTTGATACAAGAACACAGATTCATTTTCAAAAGATTATATATAGTCTTTACCATGTTTACACTGTATTTAAATAATATCATGTTTCAAAGGATTGCTAACATATGAAAAAAATCATGCAGATCCCAGATGTTCGGGATTCAGAGTGGACCCTCCAAATTGCCTACATGTAGTGTTTTTCTAAAGGCATGTAGCCTTTATATTCTTATTCATCGGAAAATGCTCTGGAAAAGCACTGGTCATTTAATAGAAAAGTATATTTAGTACTGAGTTTCTACCTGATACCTATAATTGGCTCAATGGGTTCTATGTGCTAACTTTTCAGATTAGTGTTCTGACACATGGAATTAATTTTCAAAATTCTCAGAAATGTTTTGTACTTATTACAGATGCATTTTGTAATTTGCATTTTGAGTAATTTTACTGATGCTATTCTTTGATGATAAATACTGATTATTTAAACATTTAAAGGAAACCCTCAAATCTTTACAAACAACAATACACATTATTTTACTTATTGTAGCAGCACTAAGCACATGAAGCACAGAACAATGAAGCACTATTGCCATTGCTCACAGGACTTACTAACTAAATTTAAAGAAGAACAAAAAACAGCTGAGATTAAATGACAGGGGTCTGAGAAACAAATGGTGAGTATGGATTATGGACTAGAATACTAGTGAAATATATGCAATAGTCTTGCTACCTAAATGAGGTAGAATTAGTTGTAAACATGGATCTAGATGCATTAATCTTTCACAGAAAAACTGAATGTAAACATACTTAAGACTTAGAAAAAAACAACTAGTCTTTGAAGAGTTAACCAAAAATTCAAAAGCTATGATCTGGTTACCAAAAGGAAACAAATTTGCCTTCCTTCTTAAGTGTTCATTAGCCAGCTGCCCTGACCTCTGACACAAAAGCAGCAAAAGCAGAGGGAATCATGAACTCCTGATAATTATTTCTGATATCTTCCAGGTTATGGCAAACGTGTGCATTCTATTTCGGGGCAATGGTTTGAAAAAATGAGATGTTTCTTCCCTCTGCCTTAGAATTTGTATAGTATCTTTTTTATATTACATTGCTTCAAAGCAATGTGCTGGATCCCAAAAATGAACCTTTGTCCATCTCTCCCTCTAGCTGCAGCCTCCTGTATACCTTGAAAAGCCACTCCTGAGGGTCTAGAAGCTTATATTTGCACAAGTAGAGCAAGTAGGTGGCCCAAGCTCACAAATAGAGCAAGTAGGTGGCCCAACCTCACCCAGTGAAGAAGAGATTGGATTTATACCCTGCCCTTCACTATCCAAAGATGTCTCAGAGCAGCTTACAATCTCCTTTCCCTTCCCCTCCCCACAACAGACACCCTGTGAGGTAGGTGGGGCTGAGAGAGCTCTTGACAGAAACTGCTCTTTTTCCAAGAACAGCTCTTATCAGAACTTGCCCAAGGTCATCCAGCCAGGTGCAAGTGGAGGAGTGGTGAATCAAACCCGGTTCTCCCAGATTAGAGTCCGCACACTTAACCACTACACCAAACTTAACATTATAGTTAAGCAGGAATCTGAACTCAGATCACCCTAATCCTAGTGCAAGCCTTCAAACACTATATTACACTGGCTGCTCTAAACCTCTGTGCTAAACAACATGAAACTTTACACATGTTATGGATACAATTTCATGTAGGCTGAAACCAGGAAAAAGACATGCCTACAAGCATGAAGTACTGACAGAGATCAAGGTGCATTCTTTACAGCCAATATGCCACCACTGCTAATGCTTTCTAGTCACGAATAAGTTGTCACATTAAAATGACCACAAAAAGAAACTTGTTTATAGACAGATGTTTCAGGATAATTGTAAAGAATAGGTGGCTGACCTGCCCTTCTTTGAGTGATGTACCATAAGCTTTGAATGGGCACGGCCTTAGTAACAACCACTTAAGAAGGAGAGAATGTTAGAATATTAATGGGGAGGGAGAAAACTGGGAGCTGTCAACTCTAACAGTTGTTGTTCAGGGAAAGAAACTGTCTGACTGCTGAGGAGATCAGTGGGTCTAGAGGTCTGGCTCAAGGACTGGTTAATTGTTAAGAATGCGAAATAAAAGTGATCTTAATTGGAAGGGAATCTATCTTCAAGGAAAAGTAAACTATTTACCACAGTATTGCTATGACTGGAATGTCTGGCCGATTTGATCAACTCTTAAAGTTGGTTCTGTCATATGGTGTTTAACTAAAACAGCTGTCAGTCAGAACTGGAGGTAGCTCTAAGCTCTGAAGTTGTGGTGGTGGAAAGTGCCATCAAGTTGCAGCCAACTTATGGCAATTCCGTAGGGTTTTCAAGGCAAGAGACATTCAGAGGTGGTTTGCCATTGCCTGCCTCTGTGTCGCGACACTGGACTTCCTTGGTGGTTTCCCATCCAAATACTAACCAGGGCTAACCCTGCTTAACTTCCAAAACCTGATGAGATTGAGCTAGTAAGCCCTACTGTAACAGTATTTCTCTGAGAAAGAAAACATTTAGCATCAGTGTTTCCCTCTAAGCTGAGTTAGTGTGAGCTAGTTCACAGTTTTTTTAGCCTTCGGCTCACACATTTTTGTCTTCGCTCAAGAAGGATGGCTCCAGAGGAAACTAATTTATGCAGTAACCAAATTGCTCGCTCACAACTTTAATGCCAGTAAGTCACAAAGTAAATTTTTTGCTCACAAGACTCCACAGCTTAGAGGGAGCATTGCTCAGCATTATGAAGCTGCTGTGTTCTTATAGCACCATTCAACCAACTGCTGTTTTAAACATGAGAGCTAAAATGGTGAGGAAATAATCAATATACTGTCCCTCAGTATAACATATTACATCGATCTGTGTAACAATATATACACATCCCATAACCATTGTAATAAAGCCTAGGTCAAATAATTTTAATACACACTAAAAGGAAGACATTTTCTGTTACAAAAGTTCCTGAAAACATAGTGCTATGACAACAATGTAAGTAAAAAATGTGTCTTAGTACAACGTTAAAGGACAATCATGTTTTCCCAAATCCAACTGCTTCTTCAATCAAGACACAATAGTGCAACTTTGTATACTTACCTTTTTAGAGTACAAATACAAGTTCGGAGTTCTGCCTGGTACTGGAATACCAGCTTTAGTTAGTTTTATGAAATACTTTTGCACTCTGCTGGCAACCTGGAGTATGAAAAACAAGCAAGTATATATGCTTATGATATCTGAACAGTGACTAAAATTCCCAACTACAAATCTAAATTTTTTATTATAAGGTTGAAAAAAGAAAGAGAGAGGGAGATGTATGACACTTAGCAATATCACACAAAGCTTCATCGAATGTATAAGGGGTGTGCAAAAAAAAATTCAATATTTTTTGGTTTTGGGTGTACTGAACACCAAAAATATCAGTATTTCCCGACTGCCGAATTTATTCAGCTCCATTATATCCTATGGGGATCATCACCATAGAGTATAATGGAGAAGGGGCTGGGTGAACTCATGTCGCTTCAAGTTCACTTGCGCACCGTTCGGCTTGCAAAAAGGGAACATTTCCTTTAAATGGCTTTTGCAAGCCAAGCAACGCACAAATGAACTCGAAGCGCCGGGAGTTTCCAGCAGGCTCTACTGGGGATTTGCTGGGCAGCCTGCCATCAGAAAGGAGGGAAGATCTCAGATTTCCCTTCCTTCCATTCTGCTAGCCTCCTGGAGCCACCACTAGCAGAAAGAAGGGAGACATGCCATGTACACACAGAGTGCTCCCTGCAGGATTGGCTCCTGGAAGGGCTGATGGGAGGACCCATTGGGCTGTCAGGTTTACGTTTCTGGTATTTGGCCAAGCTGAAAGAAACAAGACAGCTGTTAACACCCCCCCTTGAGGTGTTTTCTCTGCTTTATTTAATATGAAGGCTTTGGTTCCAATTGGTGCATGGTCCTGACAAAGTCTGATTGAAACAGCTTTTCAGTCCAGAGTAGCAAGTTGACTGCTTGACTGCTTTCATCTGCGACAAGACTTCAATAGACTTTTTGTGTGAGAATTTATACCTGTTGGTGTTAATATGCTCATTGTCCCTTACCTGTGAATTGTAATATTACTTATTGGATAATTAAAATACACTGTTGAAATAGTCAGCATATATTGGAAATATAGATTGTTCTTGGCACAGTGTTCTATAATTTCTGACTCTTATTGTTCACCGTGTTCCCTTTTACTATTGGTTTAAATGGCTGGCAGCCACTTAACCCATCCAAGCAGGGGGGAGAGAAAGGGATCACTGAAATGACTTGCAGCCATTTTAGCCTAATGGGGGGAAGAGTGTGCCCACCCACTATTAGGCTAAAATGGCTGCAAGCCTTTTCAGCTGTTTTGCTCCCCCCCTCCCAACTTGGAAGTGGGAGGGGTGAAACCAGCCCATGAAATGGCTGCCAGCTATTTAAACCTGACAGCCCAATGGGTCCACCCATGGCTGCCATTCATTTTAGCCTAACAGCTGCTATTTGGTATTCCTGATTAGACCTGAATAAAAGCCGAATATTTGGGATCACTACATTGGTAGTAGAATCAGATTCTCAGATTGATTCGGCTTAGGAAATATCCGAATAATACCAATAAGGTATTATTTGGGTATTTATTTGGCTCGGTTTATGCTGAATGCACACCCCTACTCCCTATGGTGGAAACCTGTTCTCACTCATATGCTTCATTTTCTTGCTATCATCTTTTTTAAACACACACACACACAAGGGGGGGGTCTTCAAGTCCCTGCAGAGGGTATTTTATGTTCCTCTCATTTCTTTTTTCAGTTTCCTGAAAGCTCTCATGGCCTCTCACCTTCTCTAGCCTCCTTTCATCCAGTATCAACATACCTTTGTGTGGCCCTGATTTTCCCTCCCCTGGCAGCCTTACCCTGAGAAAACTCTGGTGAGTTGCCTGGTGGCAGAATAGCCTTGGATAATTAGTTTTAAAATATGGCAAAATAACTACTATTTGAATAGCTGTAAAATGAATATTCTCTTTAAAAATACTACTCTAGCATTTATGCAGAGGTACCAGAATCATTTGCAGAACAGCTGTATTGTTGTTGGAAAAATAATATAATATATAAAATATTGCAAAGGGAAAAGAAGAGAAAGAAGCCCTGGGAGGCTATAATACAATGGAATGCTACACATAAACCATGTTATCAATGTTATTGGTTGTCCTTGGACATTATGAAAGACAGATGGCACTGAATATAGATCATGGTACTAAAAAAGCTATTTTGGAAAGGCAGCTGGTGTATTTGAAAAAAATTAGATGTAGCCTTCAAATTATGAGATATGTTCCAAGTCCATCTTTATTTACACTAAATTCTCTGGTATTGAAACTAACTTAAATCAAAGGGAAAAACAGGTTACTTACCTGTAACATATGATTTTCGAGTGGTCATCTGTGCAGTACCATACATGGGTTGGGTGCCTGCGCATGACCTTGATCGGAGAACATTCCAGAGCTTGCCTCAGCGAGCCCACCAAAAAAGACTCCTGAGGCAAGCTGTGGAATGTTCTCCGATCGAGGTCGTGCGCAGGTGCCCAACCCATGTGTGGGACTGCACAGAGACCACGACAAAGATCAACTGGGATGTTTTTGAATCGTAGCGAGAAATGGTTTTACATGTATTTTTATTCCAGGAAGAGTCTGAAACACATACACTAATTTTTGGCCACTGTTTCTTACAAATCAGCCACTTTGGGGAATGGATTTTCCACACAAGAGGAGCTTATTAGAGAAATGAAATAATTTCATTTGTAAAGAAATGTGTTTTCTATGAAACATTTTACCTAACAATACTGGAATCATGTAACAGCTTCCCAGTGGGCTTTTTGTGTGGGAACATAATTTCAGACAGATTACCCATTTCCAAATTATGCTCGAAATGTGGCACAAGATAGGACGATTATCACCACATCCATTTTAATATTTTGGGGGAAGATACAAAAAAAATAATCATAGACTTTTGTATAATTGTGTTGTTAAAATAATCAAAAGCCAAGTAAACGTTTATATAGATTGGATAATAGTTGAAAAGAGTAGGCAAGCAGATGGAAAATTTCATTATTCCAAGACTAAACTGAAAAGCAAGAATATACGGTGATTCTTTTCTTAGAAAACAGTAACTGTTTTAAATGTTTCTAATCAAGTTCTGAAAGACTGTTTTTGATCAAGTAATTTTGAAAAGTGTAACATCAAATGCTGTTGCAATATTGGTTCTAATCCCCTATTTGCATTGTTTATGGTATGTCATGCATTAGACATTTTTCTGTTTACATAGTTTTTGAGTGCTGTAATCGTAGTGCTGTTGCATGTCTCCTGGATGTTTCACGCTGACTGAATGGTTTTCTAAATTTTGTAACCCGCATTGAGTCTCAATGCAAAATTCAGGGTATACATTAAGTAAATGAATTAACAATCACTTTTCTTTCTTAATATTTAAAGTGAAAAAATAATAGGGAGCCATAAAATGTGTCCACGGCAAAAGTTCATACAAAAACAATTCTACCCATCTCCTTGAAAAAGCCAAAAATGAAACATTCAAAACTGAGAAAGAACACATCTTCCTGTTACCTGCTTTGCAGTTCTGTTTCCCAGTTCATCTGCAATCTTCTGCCACCGCCGAGACTCTACTTCCTCTGGAGGATATTTTAAGAGCAACTGTTCAAGTTTTTTCTAAAACAAGCAACAAAGAAAGTCATAAAAATCAAGCAATCTTTCAAATAACATTCAGTTCATCATTAAAGATGAAAAAGATCACCCAATGCCCAAAACAAACTACTATTACAAGACTGCACTACTAGCATTGTACTGAACATATTTACTGTTATTAAAGTTTCCTGTTACCTGTTCTTCTATAGTCCACAGCTGGTTAAATGTTTCAGGTTTGGTCTCATCACAAAGTCGTCCTCTTATCATCTGCTTAAATACAGAATAGAGTTTATGAAATTTTTATTTATTTATTTATTTATTTATTTAATTGCATTTACATCCCGCCCTCCCAACACACGGGCTCAGGGCGGCTTACAAAACACAGGTGTAATACAACACCACAGTTAAAACAATTAAGGCACACAGTACGCTAAAATACAGTTAAAACAATTTAAACACAGTTAAGCACAGTGGACAACTCCCAAGGATCCATCACAACTAACACACTCGCTCCCTATTGCACGTCACATTGAGTCAGAGAGGGGGATGCTATGGCCCCGATGTTCAGGTGGCCAGTCAGCCTAACCCAGCAGTACTGCTTTGCAGTCACCCGATGGTGGTGGCAGCGGTGGCTCCTATTCGAAAGCCTGGCGGAAGAGCTCCGTCTTACAGGCCCTGCGAAACTGTAACAAGTCCCGCAGGGCCCTGATCTCCTCCGAGAGCTCATTCCACCAGATAGGAGCCGCCACCGAAAAGGACCTGGCCCTTGTGGCAGCAAGCCTGGCCTCTTTAGGGCCCGGGGCCACTAGACGGTGTTGTGACCCTGACCGAAGAGCTCTTTGGGGCCTGTATGGGGAAAGGTGGTCCCTCAGGTATGCCGGACCCTGGCCATGTAGGGCTTTAAAGATAAGCACCAGCACTTTGAAGCGAATCCGGAATGCTATACGCAGCCAGTGCAGCGCTTTCAGCACAGGCTGGATGTGGCCCCATCTAGGGCACCCGCAACCAACCTGGCCGCCGCATTCTGCACCAGCTGCAGCTTCCGAATTTGCGACAAAGGCAGGCCCATGTAGAGAGTGTTGCAGTAGTCTAGCCTTGAGGTAACCGTCGAATGGATCACTGTGGCCAGGTCTTCGCGGATAAGGAAGGGGACCAACTGCCACACCAGCCGTAGATGGTAGAAGGCTGCCTCGGGGAACCACCCCTCTGACAGGGACTTGTTAATAATCTCCCTCAAGGTTTCTCGAAACCCCTCGTGGCCTGCTTTAATGAGCCAAGAGAGGCGCGGGTCCAGACTGCAAGTGGTTGGGTGCACAGATGCAAGCACTCCATCAACTTCCTCCAAGCTGAGTCGGTCAAAACCTTCCATCCCCGGCGAAGCCGCGCAAGGGGCCTCAAGTTCGCTTACTGTCTCAACTGTGGTGGGGAGGTCGCGGAGGAGCGTCAAGAGTTTATCCGTGAAATAGCTCGCAAAAGCCTCACAGCCAATATCCAATTCCCTACTATTTTGTCTGCCCTGTGGCAGAACTGTCAATGATCAAATCGTCCTAAATAATTGGGCCGGGCGTGAGCTAGTAGAAGTCTCTCTTCGCAGCCCTGACTGCCATCTCGTAGGATCTCATAAACGTCCTATAAGATGCTCTTGTAGCCTCATCGCGGGCTTGGCGCCACCGTCTCTCTAACTGTCTGAGCTCCTGTTTCATAAGCCACAACCCCTGGGTATACCAGGGGGCCAGCTTAGAGCGAGGGCGCTGGGGAGCGATCACATCGATGGCCGTAGAAAGCTGGCTATGCCAGTCATCCACGAGCTCATCCAACGAACCGTCAGGGGGCATCGGATCCCACAGAGCCATCTGGAGCCGCATCGGGTCCATTAGGCTCTGTGGGCAAGCTAAAATCTGCTCACCGCCTAAACAGGGTCGGGGCGGGACATTTACACGAGCCTTCAGGGCATGGTAGTCCGACCATGGTACCTCTTTCGTGGTAATCCGGTCCACCGTACTCCCAGCTGCGAAGATCAAATCGAGCATGTCCCCGGCCTGATGCGTGCTGGTATATATTCCACTTCCCAAATCATAAATGCAAACCTCCTCAAATATTAAAGTCTAATATATTGAATATTTTAGTGAGTGGGCATTCGAAAACCAAAGCTTTGTTTACATGCATTTTTGCAGTTGATAATACTTACCTGTGGACGGTTGTTTGTTGACGCTTCTGGACAATCACTAAAAGGCAATACAGAGTATGTAGTGGCTTCTCCATCCTTTCTGTGATCCAAAGGGCTTTTTGGTCTTGTAGGTAAACCCACTAAATGTAACAGAAGTCATTACACTTCGTTATACTATTTTCTAGACTACCAACTTTTCTTTAATGATAAGTGGTAACATTTAGACAGAACTTTCTGTCCTCAGATTGTCACACAAGATATTTATTTATTTATTTTATACCCTATCCTGCCTGCCAAAGCAGCCTCAGGGTGGCTTAAGGACTATATTGTAGTCCTTAAAATGGTCCTGTAAGGTACATCAGTATTATGGTTATCATCATATTGAACATTTGGGGCTAATGCTGCATTAAGAAAACAAAAAAACTTTAGTATGATGGATAAAAACACAGCACTTGCTATCCTTGCAAGCCTGCAAGTTTGAGAAGGCTTGGATCAAGCTCCAAATGGCTGTACTATCCAAGTACATACCTTGGCTAACTAGGTTTCCTACCTGACTGGAATACTAAATTTTGGTTTAATTTAAGAACTCTGAGGTGGGAAAAATTCCAATTTGGCCAGGCACTCATTTCAAGGTCAAAACAAACTGGCACTTGACCGAAGGTTTCCAAATCCCAGATGCCTTCAATCACACTCTACATGAGGGAGTGGGAAGAACTGAGTCAAGTGTCTGATCCTGATTACAAGCTTATTTATGCCCATCACAGACAACCTTCTCTTTATCCGTGATGTATAAATACTTTGCCAAAGTAGATTCCCTTGTGAGTTTGTGGCAGAAGGAAGGCTTGAACTGAGGAGCTCCAGGATCCTAGATGCTTCTCTTAGCTACTATGCTTGACTAAGACGTTTTTATTTACTTACTTACCTTTATCAAAAATAAGCTTTGCTCGTCTACTGTTACGTTTTCGGTTTCTGAATTCTCTCTCAAAATTCCCAAGGCTTGTTGTATATTGGTCCCATGATATCTCTGGCAGCTGAACAACTCTTTGTGGATATGGAAGCCCTATATCAACCTGAAAGAATGTGAACAAGGAAAAAATATAAACACAAAGCACCACTTCAAATTACACAGTTTAAAGCCACAGGATCTTGGACCTATTTTAAGGCAATAACAGATCTTAAGGCATGCTGTACCTTATCAACACATTTTATAAGGAACTTATCCAGGAGTAATACACAGCAAAGCATATAAAATATGATGGAGAACAGATGGCAGCAGCTGACTGGAGACAATACTTAAAAGGACTTAGAGCCAGGATTCACAATTTGTTCTCCTGTTGCTGCTTTTTGTTAACTATGTAGAAAACATTTTTTCCATTCAATTCAATTCTGTGAGTAAACACAGCAAGCTGAAGAATGCAGGAGAAGACCAGTTAATAGCAGTGACAGAACATATTACAGCTAATCAAGAACTTCTTCAGCTAAGGGAATTATATACATGTGGATATTTTTCTAACATTCTTATTCTATGACCTTGGAATAGTCATTCTTTTATTTAAAACAGTTATCTACCATCTCCCCAAATTTGTTTGATATCACTGTAAGTTCCACAAACACATCTATGGACTCCCTTGAAACTGACATTATTGCTTTTCCAAGGTTGGCTGATGCATTCAATTACCAGCTCTCAATGCTACAATATGTAACATATTTTATATATTCACACATAGCATAATTGTATATTGTATAAGTTATTGAATCTCAGTTCAAACATTCAGCTAGGGGAAGTACTAAAATAGTGTGGTAACAGTGGGTACCACCCACTTTCCACATATTCTTTCAGTGTACATGGGGCCTTCTGTAAGAAAAGTGCCTATTCAAACTGCTCCTTTACTGTACTATTTCAGTGCCATAAAATAGCAATCTATATAAATTGGAACTAAGATGTAAGGGATCTGATCATATATGAATAAACACAGATGCATTAACTGCCTGGTCTGCAGGAACCCGGCAACTGAAGGAGGAGTAATGTCAGGTCTCTTCTACTCTTCAGTCTTCCATCAATAACTTCTGAGAACAGCATGAGCTCACACCAATCACTGAAGCTGCTGAGCAAATCAGCAGTGGGTCTGGGCCTAGGAAACCATCCCACACTTTGGGTATCTGGCAGCAGAAGCAGCTTCTACACCTGCTGCTGTTGAACAGGTAAGATCCAGTATGGTGTCTGGAAAATCTGCTCCAAATGGTAAGTTGAGGGAGAGGATTAAGCAAAGCAAGGCTCTGAAACTTTCCATACTACCACTACTACCCATAAAATTTGACAGGCATTTATCTAACAAAGCTATTTAACATAACCTTTAATGCACAGCTTTGACTAGACTGTGTATTTGTGATGCTGAAGAAAACGCTGTCAGATTTAAGAAGCCCTAGAGTTTTGGATCTTAGTGACTTTAGATACTACCCTCTACCCTAGTTCTACTATCTATGAATATTTTTCTGCAGGAGATGAATTACTAGATATTAAACATCTCTCATGACTGCTTAAGAATTCCTCTTGCAATACCTTCTTTTGGAGTCTTTCCACAAATCCAATGGGATCTTTCAGTGCTTCTCTCTGGTGTCTCCCTAAACTCTCAAGATCTTGAACTGCTTGAGTACGCTGAGCCTCGAGTACTGCAATCGTCTGTAACAGTCTCTGATAACTACAGAGACAAAGGGAAACAACTCACTACATATTTCTATTGACAATAACCACAAAAGAAAAAACCCTCAGCACCAGCTCACAAAATACCCAGTACACTTATCTGAAAGAGTCAAGCAAAATATGTAGTTGATACAACAATGGGTACATTAAAATTTAAAAACATCAACAGAATGTGTGTCAGAAGCTTCTTTCATTTTAACTTGCAGTATTCCCTGCTTATTAGAGTTACAATTAAATAAGAAGTCACAATACTATGAGTTTCTCATTTTGCTGAATACGTTTCTAGCTACTTGCCACAATAAACAATGCTAAGGCATTGGACCAATCTCACTGACACCTAGTAAAGGAAGAAAGCAACTGATGTATTCATATATATTGTTTAAGCAGGCGGATTAACAGAAAGTTCTAGTTACAGTATTACATCCCTTCTAACAGTATTTCAAGTTAAGAAGAAAAAAGGCAAAGTATGTGCATTTATTAGTTCTTGGAAAAACAATTCCGTATTCAAAGAATATGATCTCTGTTCTGCAAACTGGACAGGTATGAGTCTTTTAACTAGAAGACTGCTATGGCTAGTGTTCCATGTATGCTTTTGGCAAAAACCATTGATACTTACTATATTATCATTGAATCAGTCACGATCTGTGATACTTTAGCTCTCTCAAATAGCCATGGCACTAAACTAAGCATTACAAGCAAATATATGCACCAAAGACCCAATGTGTTGTTATTAAAATGAAGCATAGTCTCAGAAAGTTGTGATTTTTGAGCAGATGAACAACTCAAGGAGTGATGCTTTACCCTTTATCTGCTTATTTCTTTTTAGCTCAAAACTGTTCATACACATAGCATTGTAGAAATATATTTGCAAATATTTATCTAAGAACCAATAAAGGTATATGCATGTGATTTTTATAACAGCAGCCCACAGGGAAATGATTAAGCAACATGATCTACCCAAAGTTGCTTTACACGAAAGCAGTAGTTGAGGCTGTGGGTCTGCAGGTTATTTTTTACCAGTATTTTTCAGTTCAGTTCTATTGGACCTCAAAACATTTTGAGATTACCAAAAAAACCTGGATCCAAATATCGGTGCAGTATTTGGATCTGGAATTTTTCAAAAATCCAGATATTTGGGGGGTCCAATAGACCCGAGAAGAAAAAAAGCCAGTGGAAAGCTATGCCAGCAGGAAGTTCTCAGCTCCCCATGGCACAGCTGACCCTGGTTGGGCTGCCTTCTCCTGTAGCCCAGTTTAAACCAGCCTGCAGGAGAAGCCAATACAAAGCTGGGCTGGTGGGGAACTCTCAGGTCTCTGCTGGCCTAGCCAATCCTGCAGCCTGGTTTAAACCTCTCAGATCTCTGCCGGCCCAGCCAATCCTGGGCTGACTTCTCCAGAATCCCATTTAAACTGGGCTGCAGGAGAAGCCAGCACAAATCTGTGCCAGTGGGGAGCTCACAGCTCTCCATGGACCAAATGATCAGGGTCCCCGGCCACCAACTTTTAATGAGTTGAAAATCCACCCAAGCCTGAAGAATCAACACTTTCCATTTGATCAGGCCCATTTTTAAACCTGGCTGCACAAGAAGCAAACCCCAAGCTGAGAGAAGCCAACATAAAGCTGTGCTGGTGGGATGCTCTTAGCTCCCTGCAGCATAGCTGATCCTTGGTTGAATTCTCCTGCAGCCCAGTTTAAACCTGGCTGCATGAGAAGCCAGCCCAAGCTGAGCTGGCAGGAACAATCTGTTCCCCACTGACATAGCTGATGCTGGGGCTGTCTTTTGCAGTCCCTTTAAACATTAAAGAAACTGCAATAGAAACCTGATAAACAGCAGAGAGGTGGGAGCTCTCCACTGTTTTTGGATCCACCTGGTAATTCCGAAATACAGCCAGGATGTCTCCCCAGTTTTCCCAAGAAAACCCGGATACATTTGGGATGCCAAAATATACCCGATAAATATTGCTAAGTTATTTTTCAGGTATATTTTCAGCTTAGGTAGATCCAAACACACACAGTTGAAGCTTTATTATACTTATCAGCTAGTTTGCCCCACAGTGTTTGCCATTCATACTGAAAGATTTATACTGAAAATTCTTCCTTTTTTTAAAACTTAAGACACACTCCCAACTACACATTTCTAACCAACAATATTTATTTATAGTTTTCTCCTTTCATAAATGTAAGCAAAAGAAACTGAGGACGAAAAAGAAAGGTCCCTCCTGGCAACCAGCAGGGATGGGGGGGGGGACTTACGAGGAGCAGCAGGGAGGCCCATCTGACGTACAATGATGTGTCTATGTAACTGCCCACATGACCAGGAAGGTGATGCTCTGGTATTGGACAAAACCTCTATGGTAAATTTGGCTTCTACCACAGAGTTTTTGCCCAAATACCAGAGTGTTGCTCCAGCATCCTAGATGTGATGACATCAATTCTGGGTTACGAGAGTAGTGATGTCGACACATCACTGCACATCAGTTGGATTGCCCTCTTTTTCTGGGTAATTCCCCCCAAGCAGCGGCGGGGGGAAGGAGCCTGGCAGCACGGGACCTCCGCCTCCACTGAGGGGTCTGGCAACCCTAGCCCCATCTGAAAAATTAATAAGCTAAATACATTGCTTTGTAAAACTTTACAACAGAATTTCTTTTTTTCTAATTATTAAATTTGTTAATACAAGAATAAAAATTCTGCAATAAATACAATCTAATAAATAAAATCTAAAAATAAGTAAATATGAATACAAACTGGGAATAACACAACCTGATGGGAGGAAGAGAAACGGGGGGTATGCAGAGAGGAAAGGGGAGAGACCAGAATATGGGGAAACTCTCCACAACAAAAAACACATGGCTTTTGTTTAGCTATACCAAGTGTTTTTGTAAAAACAGTATCTGACTATGTTAAAAAGTGCAAGTCTAAGGAGGATCACTGTTTTTCTGACAATGCTTTACAAAAAAAAGCCATGTATACAATTCACATGCAAAAGACAGTCGGTTTGTATGGCTAACATGGACATGCACACTCCTATGTAGACCACACTGACACTGAAGCAACAAAGAAATTTAGATATTTATACTCCTTGCTGAATTTGTTTTACTGATAGATGCATAAAACAAACGTAACAAGATTATATATTTACTTTAAAAATTGAGCTCTTTTACAGTTATTTAATAAAGAGTCAAAAGATACTGAGAACATCTCAGGATACTTATGAATCAGTGCTGCACCAATTGTCTCTATACCAACATGAAGTATTCCCAACTAAAAGCTGTTTGAGGAGCAATGTTATTTCAAATTTATGAGAAATTCTTTGACAACTGAATGGGTTGCCCAATAATGGGGAAGGCAAGCAATCCAGGGAAGTGATGGCAGCAATTGCCAGGATACCAGCACGTCAGAAAGCTTATGCCTGTATGGTAAAGGCAAACAACGACAGCTATATACCGAGTCTGACACAGCAACAACTAGTTCTATTTTGCTGACAATATATCAAGCTCTGTTGTTAAATACGCTTCTAAATCTTGAAGAGAAAAAGTATGATTGCCATAGCATGCATGGATTGCTTTGAGAACGACCCTTGGCACTTACCATGAGGGCTCCTTCTACTCTGAGGAAAGGAGGACATCTTGGGTGATTCCTACCATCCTATCAGAGAGAGGCAGGGAACTCAATTTTTTCTTCCTCTTCCTGTGGAGTGGGAACGCCCTCCCTTTTCAGTTCGGGAGACTCCCAGCAGCAGTACTGAATACAACTTGCTCCTATTAACAAACAATGAATAACTCCAAACATGACAACGGTGGCAGTGCAGTGTTGCGACGAATCAGACCTGGAGAAAGCTGACGTCATCAAGCCAAGCCGAGTGAAAAATGCCGGCTGGAACATGTCTAGTCTACAGCTGAACAAAATCCCCATCGGCTGTGAACATGTGTGATTTAAAGATTTATATATGTTGTCCTCCCTTACCCCCATGAATCATTGTTAGTCCCTTGTGAAATGAGTAAATCGCTCAGAGCCAGCAGCTCTGCAGGATTGAGTGATTAATAAATTGAAAGATTTATGATGATGATGATGATGATGATGATGTCTGTGAACCGGTGGAGGACAAATCAGGGATGCCCATCTCAGAAACCGTTATAGAATTGCCCTGAATGTGTGGCAGCACCGAAGCTATTGCTGTGACTTATTTCCTTAGGGGGGTTGCTTGTCTCAAACCGGATTTCAGGCTGTCATTCAGAAAACCCAAGATAGAGCCAATGGATGGTTTTGTTGCATCCACTGACTTCCTCCTGCACCACCTATGGAAGGCTTTCCAGGTGGTGTCATATATGCTGATCGTGGAAGATTTTCTGGAAGCAAGAATTGTGTTTGTTACTTCTGGTGAGTAACCAAGTCTCAGGTAAGACATCTGTTCAAATTCCATGTGGTCAGCAGTAAACGTTTTGGTTCTGGATGCCACACTGGGCCCTGAACGAGCATGCCTGGAGACACCGGAAGCCACATTAGTGTGGTTTCAGGCAGTTGTTGGAGTCGAAAACCACGGATGATGTGGCCACCATGGAGCAATCAGGAGGACCCGAGCCTTCAATTGTTTTATCCTTTTCAGCACCTGTGGAATTATGGGAATGGGAGGAAATGCATATAGCAGTACTTCTGGCCATGGCGAGGTCACAGCATCTGTGGCCTCCGCCTTCTTGTGGTGGAACCTTGAGTAAAATCTGGGCAGCTGATTGTTCTGATGCAAGGCAAACAGATCTAACATTGGTGTCTGAAACCGGTCCAGTATCCACAGAAAGACCTCCTTGTTCAGCATCCATTCGCCTGGATGTATCGCCTAACGGCTGAGCCAATCTGCCTTGATGTTGTCCAGGCCCTTGACATGCTTGGCTCTGATGGAGGCCAGATTCTTCTCCGCCCAATGGAACAGCATCATCACTTCTTTGTGGAAGGAGGAAGATCTTGACTCCCCTTGGTTGTTTACATAGGTCTTGGTCGATACAT